CCTGGGCAGGGGGCGGAGCCGGCAATTGGAGGGAGATGGGGGTCCCCTGCCCAGGCCTGACGCCTGGGCCAGAGGCATCAGGCCTGGGTGGGGGGCGGAGCCAGTGATCGGGGGATGTGGGGGTCACCTGCCCAGGCCTGACACATCTGGCGGAGGCGTCAGGCCTGGGCAAGGGGCCGATCCAGCAATTGGAGGGTGATGGGGGTCGATGCCTCTGGCCGAGGGCGGAGCCAGTGATCGGGGGGAGGGGGGGGGGAGATGGGGGTCCCCTGCCCAGGCCTGACGCCTTGGCGAGAGGCCTGACGCCTGGGCCAGAGGCGTCAGGCCTGGGGCGGGGGTGTGGGGGCAAGCCGGGGATTGGTGTGAACTACAGAGGAAACACCTTTTCTGACCGCTCATTGGCTAAACTCCCTGTATGCCACTGGTAATATTCTTAGTAACTTGGATAATAAGAATCCAAAAAGGTGATCTAGGGTTTTTCACCACACTCCTGGCGAAAAAAACAAAGGTCCGCTGCTGGAGGGCTAAGAAATGTCATATCCTGCCCTAGCCGGTTTGGCTCAGTGGATAATGCCTTGGCCTGCCGATGGCAGGGTCTGAGTTCAATTCTGACCAAGGGCATGTACCTAGGTTGCAGGCTCCTCCCTGGCCTGGGCCCAGGTCAGGGCTCATGCAGGAGGCAACCAATCAAAGTGTTCCTCTCACTTTGATGTTTCTCTCTGTCTTTCCCTTTCTCTTCCACATTCTCTAAAAATCAATGGAAACATATCCTCAGGTGAGGACAAAATAAAAATAAGAAAGAAATTATTATTATATGAAAGACACATCTTGAAAATGCCTAAAGAAAGTTGTCATTTTTTCATGGTGAAGGGACTGGAGTCCATGTTGATGAAAAAACCTTGCTGGCTGCGGTGACTGGCAGTGGCTGCAGCAGCGCGGTGATAGGGCTGGTGCCTTCCCCTGATCAGCCCGGTCACCTCCCACAAAGGGAGGCCAGACTGCGGCTTAGGCCCTATCCCCAAGGGGAGCAGGGAGCGGGCCTAAGCCATCACTAGGACATCCCCTGAGGGCTCCCAGTATGTGAGAGGGGGCAGGCTGGGCTGAGGGACACCCCCCCCCCCGCTGTGCACGAATTTCGTGCACCAGGCCCCTAGTACATTAATAAAAAAGGCAGAATATAATGCCCAGCCAGTATGGTTCAGTGGTTGAATATCGAGCCATGAACCCAGGAGGTCACAGTTCGATTCTCAGTCAGGGTACATGCCTAGGTTGTGAGCTCCATCCCCAGTGTGGGGCGTGCAGGAGGCAGCCAATCAATAATTCTCTCTCATCATTGATGTTTCTATCTCTCTTTTCCTCTCCCTTCCTCTTTGAAATCAATAAAAAGTATATATTTTTTAAAAGGCAGTTATACAACTGCAAAGAAAATTGTACAAAAGAAGCAAATGGGAAATTACCAGTTTACTCTGGATTATGTCAAAGTACGGGTGATTTTTCTGCCTCTGTACTTTAAAATTTTTCTATTAAGAGCATACTACTTTAGAACAAGGGGGAAAAAGATAAAATGGGGTAAATAAAAAATTCTACTTCAAAACCGCCTAATTCTGAACTTCTCCATAGGGGTCTCAGTTCCATTTGGAAGAATCCCATCTTCCAAAGCAAGGCATACAAACCTGAGGCCTGTCTGGGATGTGAGGCTGTTCTGGCACTGCCCGCAGTCTTCCCTAACAAAACAGGCTCTCTACGTGGAGGCTGTGACCTGGGGCTTGATGGGCACAGCTCTCCAGCCACGAGCTCTGCTAAGGATTCAAAAATGGAGAACAAAGCTACATTGCTAGTTATGCATTTAATAGGCCATCCAGCATGTTAATTTCATTTCATAATTCTTAAAATATTTTGTTTTTATCTCACCTATTAGCTTTATTTAAAAAAATAATGACTTAAAAATATTATCTTCCTTTTTACCATCTATTTAAATAGTTAATGCTGTTTATCATTTTTCTATTTTAACTGTCTTCATTTTTCTATCATCTGAACTTCAGTCCTATTTACCCTTATTTTATTCTTTCCCCCCTTACTTTCAATCCTGAGCATTTTAACCTCAATTTCTTTTCTTAATGTTTAATTATAACTTGAATGTTTTTGCTCTTTTATTTTGAAAACTTACTCTCTTCTGTTTAACTGTAGTGTTTGCTCTCTCATTTGTTGTAGAACAGCAAGATGAAGTACAACTTGTATCATAAACCTGGGAGACTGCAGGGGCTTTTCCCTCTAATGCAGTGGTTCTCAAACTTGGCTGCACATTAGAATCACCTGGGAATTTTTTTTTAAATCCTGATTTCTGGGCCTCATCCTCCGGAAATTGTTTATTTGTTACTAGTGTTGTGGCCTCACCCCATAACAAAGAAACAGAATTTCCGGAGGATGAGGCCCAGAAATCAGGATTTTAAAAAGATTCCCAGGTGATTCTAATGTGCAGCCAAGGTTGAGAACCACTGCTCTAAATGCTCTTAACAGCTCTCCCTCCCTTTCAGTATCAGCTCTGATTTTTTAGTCAAATTACTCAGGGTACTGAGCTCTGACAGGGTGCTTACGTCCTGGAAAGTCTACAGAAAAGTTACCAAGAGCCCATCAATCAACAGATACAGTGTGTGAAACTGCAGGTTAGTATAAAACTAACTTTTCAAGGAAAAGGCTCAGTAACTAATTCAGGATTTAAAGGCTCACAACCTAGAAAAGGTTGAGAACTCCTGAATTAAAGACTGACCTAAAGAAATCAGAAAGCATGGGAATAACACTCGTGTGAGAGGTGGGCCTGGCGCCTGGCAGAGTGGCCATTTCAGCTTTGGTATAGGAAGGAAGCACTGAGGGGATGTGGGACAGGGCCTTAAAAACGGTTTCACTTGGGGGCTCATGAATACACAGACACCGAAAAGAATTGTCCAGTGAATAAGGAAACAGAGAAAGAACAAGCTCAAGTATAGGGCATAATAAGGAAAGTGGAAAGTTACAGCACCCAGCTCAAAAAGAGAATCTTATAAGGAAGAAGTGTCCACAACAATAAATATCTGCAGAACTTAAAAGGAGATGCTCAACAGGATTTGTTTTTCTCTTAAAAAGCAAGATCTCTTTTGTGTTAAGGGAAGGTGAGCCGTGAGGTAGGAAGGAGGTAAGAGAATACTCTACAAATACATAAGGTTTCAATTACTGGTGAAGTTCTCACCTATAATAACTCCAGGCTACCAGGCACCAAGCTCAGGACCAGAGACTTCTGAGCTCATCCATAAACACTCTACACTCTAAAGCACACCCACTGAAAAGTTAAGAAAGTTAGTGGAAGGATGACTGACTTCCCCAGGGTTCTGCTGTCCGTGAGCCACTAAGTTACTCTCCCAAGGGTGGCCTGTGAGCTCGAGGTCAGCATTTCCCACCCCAACACGGATTCCCAAGCCTCACTCTGGAAGGCTTTCCAGGGCAGCCACCTCAGGACATGGAGGGACCAGTCACTAAAGCATAACTCTGAAGTCTGGTGCCAGGATGTGATCTAGTCCTGCAATTTACTACTCCAGATCTGTGGGCAAGTGTTTCCTGCACCTGTTTCTCATCTATAAAATGAGTGTAACAGTGGTACCTACTTCACGCCATTTTGATAGGAATAATACCTGGCATTTGGTAAGAACCTAACGGGTGAAAGATTTTACTATTCTTCTTACAAGAGGAAAGCCAAGCAGGGAAGACCGGGGGTTCCGCCCTCACTTTAGTGACCAGAGATGACATTTTCATCTATTCTGTAAACTGAACTTCCTCATAAGATTTTACTTAACGAAAATATCCTTTAACAACAACAAAAAAAACAATAATAACAAAGTTCACACCCTACCTGTATCACTGAAGTCTATGAACTCTTTTGACAGAAGGTTTGTAAGAAGTTCCATAATAAGAAGTAGGTCCTGATATTGTTCCTCCTCCGCTGTGACATCCACTCTCTGCCGCCCCAAATTATTCTTAGAATATACTTGCAACAAAGTGAGGCAGGCTTCATATAAGTTCATCGCTTTGGACTGTAAGAAAGCATGCAGAAATTAGGCTACCAAAAAAAATATAAATATTAAATTTAAAAATATAATCTAATACATTTACTCTAAATACCAATGATCTCAAATGCTTGTTTTAAACTACATTAAAACATTAATAAAAATGAAAAATTACACACTAATTAGTCATGTTTAAAATATTAGCAGTTTTCCAGCAATAAAATATAATATCCATTTTTTTTATTCTCTTGACTAGAGATGATAAGACTTTGGCAACAGAACTACTTTATTGCTGCTATTCAACTTCTTCATTGATTTTAAGATTTAAAACTGTATAACTTGCAAAAACACAGCGTACCAAACAGTGGTCTTAAACATGAGAATGGCACTGTCATGCCCTCTCAATAATTTAACTGTGACTACATTTTTAATATTTTAAATATAACCTCACTTTCAAGTAGGTTCCTTTGATCTAATAAAAAAAAATACAAGTCAGGAGCCCATATTAAATGATTTGGATAAGATTTAAGCTAATCTGCTGCTAACAAGTACAAATATATGTTTAAGGCTGTTTTTAAAGAGCTTTCTAAACAATTTAATGGAACAAAAATACATCTTTGCTTAATAAATATAAAATAATTTAGTATGTCTAAACACTTAACTGATTTACAAAACAGATTATACAAACTGCCATTAAAATTTTTAGGCCTGCCCTGCCAGCGTGGCTCAGTGGTTGAGCATTGACCTATGAACCAGGTCACAGTTCAATTCCTGGTCAGGGCACATTCCCGGGTTGTGGGCTCGATCCCCAGTGGGTGGTGTGCAGAAGGCAGCTGATCATTGATTCTCTTTCATAGTTGACGTTTCTATCTCTCTCTCCCTCTCCCTTCCTCTCCGAAATCAATAAAAAAAAAAAAAAGAAAAAAAAAAGAAAGCCCTTAAAAAATATTTTTAGGCCTTACTGTTCTACCATAGAGAAACTGGTCAAAGTTCTCTACCATAATTCATTTGTTTTATCAAATATTCCTCATTTGAATGATTTGATCTAATAGCATATTAGCCCAAAGAAATTACTAATTATTAACATGTGTTTAGGGCAAGAATTTATATTCATTCAACATGCCTTACTCTGAATTCTAATTTCTTTTGAAAACAGTATTTTGAAAAACCTTCTGGAGGCATAAAAACATTTCAGATAATATGCATTAAATTTGAAGGCAAGTACCTATTATTTTGTTATAGCTTTAAGGAGTTTTAATCCTGAAGGAATAAACTTTGAAAGCACTCACCTCTCCAAGATAACATATCTGTTTATGTGCAACTTCAACAAAAACTTCTATTATGAGATTGACAGTCTCGGGGGTATTTTTGTAAACTTCCATCAATCCAATGCAATTGGTAAGGAAGTCCATTAAGAAATTAAAAAGGATCGCGACGTTGTCAATCTGGGTAGCCTCGGCAATGCCACACAGGGCCTCTAGCGTGGCAGTGATTTCCTGCTTGACCTCCTCTTGCTGGCACATCTGCTGAAAGTTTTCCTGATTTATCACCCTTAAGAATCGCTGCTGCAATGGCTGAAGAACCTATAAAAACAAAGCATGGATTTTCTAAAAGGCTAATTCACATACCTTATTTTTTTCTTCATCTTTATTTCCTCAACTAAGAAAAACAGTCACTTTCTAAAACATTTTTAACTGCTGGAGGTCGAAAAAGCACAGAAAACAAAGAATTCTGAACCACACGTTATATTCCCCATTTTGAGGGTCATCAAAACTTCTGTACGAAGTAGACATTACCTCACGCCTGTTAGAATAGCTGTTATCAAAAAGACAAGAGATAAATACAGAAGGTCCTCGGGTTAGCACGTCGTAACTCGATTTTCGCCGTAAGTTGGAACCCACCTACATAAGCACCTACGTCACTCACATGGAGCACATACACAGCAGGAATGAAGTGAAACAGTAAAAAAAGTTTAAAGAAAGATAACAATTCCTGACCTTTACTTGTGGTAAATAAATAAACATAAAGTACATATGTACATACGTCGAAATGATGGAACTTTTTTTTTTATAAATAAATGGGAGATGATGATGTAACCACGAAACGACATACGTCGAGTCCGACGTAACCCGAGGATTGTCTGTACTGGTGAGGATGTGGAGAAAAGGGAACCCTCCTGCAATGTTGGTAGGTTTGTAAACTGGTGCAGCCACTATGGAAAATAATATGGAGGTTTCTCAAAAAATTAAAAATAGAACTACCACATGACACAGCAATTCCACTTCTGGGTACATATTCAGAGGAAATGAAAACACTAATTAGAAAAGGTATCTGCACCCATATGTCCATAGCAGCATTATATACAATAGCCAAGACATGGAAACAGTCTAACTTTAAATGTCCATTGATGGATGATGGATAAAGAAAGCTGTGGTGTATATACATCATGGAATACTATTCAGCCATAAAAAAACACACGCAAAAATATCCTCTATTGAGACAACATGGATGGACCTTTTTTTAAAAAAAATATATTTTATTGATTTTTTGCAGAGAGAAAGAGAGAGGGATAGAGTTAGAAACATTGATCAGCTGCCTCCTGCACACCTCCTACTGGGGATGTGCCCGCAACCAAGGTACATGCCCTTGACTGGAATCGAACCTGGGACCTTTCAGTCCGCAGGCCGACGCTCTATCCACTGAGCCAAACCGGTTAGGGCAACATGGATGGACCTTGAGGGCATTATACCATGGGAAATAAGTCAGACAGAGAAAGACAAACAATGTATGATTTAAATTATATGTGGAATCTATTTAAAAACACACACACACAAAAAAAACAAAAGCACCAAACTCACAGAAAAACTTTTATTGTTTCCAACAGTAGGGGTGGAGGGAGGGGGATTTGAAGACAGGTGGTCAAAAGGTACAAACTCTCAGTTATAAAATAAATATAAGCACTAGGGATGTGATATACCAGCAGTCGCCAACCTTTCGGACCTCGAGGACCACCTGTTGGCGACCGCTGTGATATACAACTTGATGATTATGGCTAACACTGTATGACACATAGGAAAGCTGTTAAGAGAGTAAATCCTAAGCGTCTTCACAAGGAAATTTTTCTTTTTTGGTTTTTCTTGTATCTATATGAGATATGAGATGATGGATGATAACTGAACTTATTTCACATTATATGTAAGTCAAACCATTATGCTGTACACCTTAAACTTATATAGTGATGTATGTCAATTAAATCTCAATCCAGCAAAAATTATAATTCATGGAAAAATGTAAGTGCATGCTATCACCTCACTTCCTTAAGTAATTTAGCTTTAAGAAAGAAAGAAAGAGAGAGGGAGAGAGAGGGAGAGAGAAGGAAATCCCGTAACTCACAGGACACAACTTCAATGCCATCCACAAAATTCAGCCACTATCCTCATCTCTTTCCAATAAAACATTAAACCTCAAAGTAGGGACTGACACTGTGTTCTACAGGGATAGGCAAAAGTAGTTTTCCAGTTTGAGTACACAAAACAGAGTTTATTCTTAAATGTATTTATTTATTTATAATAATTTATGTATTGTTATATTATTTTCCATATGAACAACTATAAACCTACTTTTGCCCCACCCTGTATAAAGGGCGAGAGGGTAAATATTTTAGACTGGGCAGGATATGCCACCTCTGGCCCAACTACTCCGTTACAACTATGCTGTCATTCAGACATAGCCATGGACAACATGTAAACAACTAAGAGTAACTGTGTTTCAATAAAACTTTATAGGAACAGACAGCACACTAAATTTGGTCTGTGTGCTACAGTTTTCCAACCTCTGTTCTACAGGGTCAAGCCCAATACAAGCACCTGCCTGGTTTTTCCCTTTTCAACTCCTCGTAGTATAGGACATAACTATGGATACTCAGTTATGCCCTGAGTATAAGAGTCAATAGACATATTCATGAAGGTAATATCTTAATTCTATTTAAACCTGTACGTATAATAACACAATTATTTCAACTAAAATACATGGTCAGCCTGGTTTTTCTGGTTCTGAAGTGACAACTCCCTAATGTCTGCCCCTTCTAGTCTCAAGGACTATAGGTCGGTAACCTACATACAATGGTAAGTCTTGGTTCCCAATTTAAAGCTTATTATGTGAGGCAATGTCCATGGTGGTTGTTATGAGTTGAATTATGTCCCCGCAAAATTGTTATGTTGAAGTCCAAACCCCGAGAAACTCAGAACATGGCCTTATGTGGAAATACGGCTGTTTTCAGATACAATTAGTTAAATTAAGATCAGGTCATTAGGAAAGACTCCCTAATCCAGTATGACTGGTGTCCTTATAAAAAGGGGAGATTTGAACACAGGCACACAAAACATGGAAATTTTCATGTGAAGATGAAGACAGAGGTAGGAGTGGTGTGTCAACAAGACAAGGAATGCTGAAGATTGCCAGCAAAGCTCCATAAGTTAAGAGAGGCCTGGACCACATGTTCCCTCACAGCCTCAGATGTAACCAACCCTTGGACACCTGATCTCAGACTTCCTGCCTTCAGAGCAGTGAAATAATGAATTTCTGTTTAAGCAGCTAAGTTTGTGTTACTCTGTTATTGCAGCCTTAACAAACTAATACAATGGTTAATTTGTATCTCCTTGTTGAAGACAAAAGAACATTTCACTGATTCTTAGTGAAGAATTAATATACCACTTCAGATTCTCATTTGAGTTGGGGAGAAAAATATATCTAAACTGCAGAACACTTGCAGAATAGTGATAATTAACATTCAATATCATCACAAGCAGATACAAACAAATCATAAGATGACATTTACAAAATAATAAGCTTCAACCCATACATTAGAAGGGAAAAATAACAGAAAAGCAATGACCAATGTTTATATCTCCAGTGACTATTTTATGGCAATACATAGATAAAACAACAAAGTTCCACCAGAGGGTGCTATCAGTATCAGGGGAACTGTTACCTCAGTCCAATACTGTTGTTTGGTTTCTGTGTCCATCTGTGCAAAACCTCCCAGGACAAGGGCCTTCATCAGCGTCCTCTGCACCGGACTGGACAGAAAATTCAGAGGAGGGCTTCGGGTCGCAAACTGTTTAGCTAAATTCCACCAGTTTTCACACTGGATTACTAGGTTTGCCCTATGGGCAAAAACAACAAAAGATAGATGTACCACTTAGATTGTATGTAAACTAAGTAAACAAAATGGAAGGTGCCAGGATTTAATTAATTTTATTGATTTATTTAATTTTATTGACTTCAGAGAAAGGAAGAGGGAGTGACAGAAATATCAATGATGAGAGAGAATCACTGATCAGCTGCCTCCTGTACGCCAACCTAAGCATGTGCCCTGACCGGGAATTGAATCATGGCCTCCTGGTTCATGGGTCGATGCTCAACCAGTGAGCAACACTGGTCAGGCTGGATTTAATTGATTTTCAAGTATAGTAAACTGGGCATAGAATTTGGAGACCCACAAGCTTGCATTCAAATCCCATTGGTAATCTGACTATGTAAAATGTATTTAACCTCTAAATCAGTCTCCTGATCTGTAAATAGGGATAACAATAGTAAAAACAACATTACATCTCTTGGCTGAGATTGATGTGATTAAATAGGATGCTTTATATGAAATGCTTGGAAAAGTACCCAGTATATTATAAGAAATCAGTAAGTAGTAGCCAATGACAATAGTAATAATAATAATCGTATTCCTATGCAGTAAGAAAAATGAAAACATTTCCAAAATCTGTTGTAGAAAGCAATTTTTAATTACTAAATTATCAGCTTTTCTCATCTTCAAAATGGGATAATACTAATAGGATACCTGAATAATCAAATGAAACTATTTTATTGTAAAGTTTTTTACACTTTAATATATAAATAAATTACTAAATTAAATACGTATGGTACTCATAAGATACTTTCATACCGAATCCTTGAACAGTCAATGCAATCCTCACTTGTAACACAGGGAAGCCCTATTTGCACTTGTAATAATAACCTGACACTGTTTTTTAAACACACTGCTCCAAAAATGCAGGATCTACCTAGACCTTAGGACCAATTGTTGTCACTTGCAAAGTCTACACTAAAAAGCAAGCTCATTACACACACACACACACACACACACACACACACACACACACAGCCTGATTCTTACAATCAGCTTACCTTTCTCTTCTTTCCACCAAAGTGACAAGGAGCTGCACAGTGTCACTTGCAAGGTCCTGCTCACTACTCCACACTGAGAGGTTGCTGATGACTTTCTGTAAGAGGTAGCCAATAATCCACTGAGAACCCTCAGTATCTGCTCCAAATGCTGTACTGAATGGTAGACTTATCTTAAAGAGAAAACCAATTTTTTAGGTCAGAAAGAATGATCAGCTAAAAAAAAAAAAAATCCATAGAAAAATCAAACTGAAATTAGCATCTAAATATGAAGTGCTGCTCACTTCACATCATTTTATAAATTCATATCCATAAGTCCAAAAGAGACATCCTCAATCCACTTAATGTTTTCCAATGTGATTTTTAAAAATTTATCTTTATTGCTGGAAGTATTATCCAATGTGATTTTATTGTTCACTTTAATTTATTGTTATTAATACACTAACATGATATTTACACAAATTCAAAGAACATAAGTTAATCTGTTCTCAAAGCGTAATCTATAACTTAATATTGGTTAAAGTACACTGAATTAAATGATGTGCTCTAAGAAAAGTTATTAAAATAGCATGTCACTAATGCAGTTCTCTTCAATGTGGAAAATGTTCAGCTTAGTCACATTTTGATAATAAAATCTCCAAGAAAATGTTCTCATTTCTATAACTGCCATAATCATAAATCCAAATCAAGTTAAATAGTTTTACATTCTGACCTGATCATATAGCTTCTCATCCACCAGGAGATAAGTCTTTGCCCAGCGTTTTAGAAACCAAACAATATCTTTGCCCATTTGAGGGCTTAGCAGATCAGTGAGATCTGCTCTTATTGCTCGAGACTCAACTTCCGAAACTCTGAGAACAGCAGATAACAGCCTATGGGTACAAAAAGAAGTCATTATTCTTCGTTTATTAGTTAATTTCTTCATAAAAGTCCTTTTTTTGTTTCCCAACTCTCTGGATTTAGGCCAGGTTATTCTTGAAATTTTCATTAATAACGCTGTAGACAAATGCCCTACTTTGTTGCTGATCTTTCAGGAAGCAGCAAACAAGACAAAGAAATGGAGAGGAACTGTGGCCAGAGATAACCTTCTGTTGAAGTTGTACCTGCATTACTATCTAAAGAAATTTTTCAGATTCAAAATGGAGAAATACATAAAATTAAAAGTTCAGAGTAGCCCTGGCCAGTGTGACTCAATTGGTTGAGCATCATCCTGTACACCAAAAGGTTGCCAGTTCGATTCCCCATCAGGGCACATGCCTGGGTTTCGGTTGCCAATCAGTAGGCAACCGATTGATGTTTCTCTCTCACATGGATATTTTTCTTTCTCTCCCTCTCCCTCTCAAGTCAATAAAAATATATACAATACAATAAAATAAAATTTCAGAGTAGATGCTAACATTTTCAGCACACCATCACTACCTAACAGTGACATAATTAGCATTGGTCATTTTATGGTGCAGGGTCTGGTAATAGACTTATCCAGAATGTTTTGAATATTGAGTCCTGTCTTTAAATTTGATAGTCCTGTCCCAGTCAGATGGCTCAATTGGTTGGAGTGTCATCCTGTTCATCAAAAAGACTGCAGGTTCAATTCCCGGTTTGATCCCCAGTAGGGATGCTTACGGGAGGCAACCAACCAATGTTTCTCTCTCACATGGATGTATGTTTCTCTCTCTCTTGGATGTATGTTTCTCTCTCTCTCTCTCTCATGAGGATTTTTTAAAAATCTGATAGTCCTATTCATTTCCTATAAAACTTGATTCTTAATGGTATTATAAAATTAAAATCTTACTGGAAAAATCACCTACATGGTGTATGTAATGTCCTTTTCTATACTACATAATTAAAAATGCAGCATGACGTGCAGATAAATAAAAAAAGCCTTTGTTCCAGAATGGGATTAAGGGAACACATAACTAGACATGATATATATTTAAGTTGCCTTTAGCTAAAGGCAAAGAAGCAAAGATTTAATTGAAAGAACCCATTACCACACCATTTTGTGAATATCAGTGCCAAGAAAGGGGTTTTAATCACAGGAAGTCTGGCCATTACCTTCCTACTACTCTCAAGATAACTGAACTGTCTCTTTGTAATGAAATCATACAGACATTTCAGTTCTTTATCCAGTTGGATGTCCCAGAAATACCAGATACTACTGATCACTCTGCCCTTTTGAAATGTCTTCCCTTGTACCATATTTTCCATATTTCCCCTAATTTGTTTCTTACTCTTCCTCGGGTTATGACATCCTCTTGTCCTCTGATCTCCTTCTTCTTTTAAACACTTGGTTTCTAAGGTTCTGTCCCTAGAACCTCTTCTTTTTCACTATATATACTCCCTTCACCACCAGTGTTCAAACTTTAAAAAAATTATTTTAGGGTGCATGTAAACAATAATATCCTGACAACTTCACAATACATTAAAATTTTCCTATAAGAATAAATAGTTTTGGTGAGACAGAATTTGATGTTTTTAAGAGGCTGTTCTTCTCTAAAACAAAGAAATCTCATTAAGACATCTAGTAGAATTTTTTAAAAGAATAGTTTTAAATATTATAATTTTCAGCCTAATAGAATTTGAAATAGCTGGAGTAGCCACTTAAACTTATGCACTGGAATTTAATTACCATGCTGTTGCGATACTCACCACCATCCATTTGAAAAATAAACAAGTTTTTAACAGTTGGAAAACAGATATGTCTAGCTACTAAAATATAATTTTATAAAATTTCCAATGATTGTAAGACTTTTAAAATGTCTTCTATATTGAGTTATTACAATACTTAGTAGTACACAATTGCACAAAATATCAACACACATTTAAATTATTAAACATAAATATGTCTGAATGAGATTGATGTAGCAGGGTTTTATTTTTAAAATAAATTTATGTACCTGTGAAAAAATATTTCTTACTGCTAAAATAAGACAGAGTTGAGTATAATTTGGCTCTTGTTTTTCATTTTAATAGATAAAAAGACGTGAAAACTCATTCATGTAAGGAAATTGAAGGCATTTAAAAAATAGCAGAGCCCTAAATTATCTGAACTTGTTGCAAGTTATATGCCAAAAATCACTAGAGCTCTACCACCAAAAACTATTTTTAATAACATGATAACTGACAGCTTTATTAAGTCACTCTTCAGTGGTATTTAAGGCAAAGGACTGAAAACCTCCTGACTTATAAAATTACTGGTTTATCATTACACCAGTCACTCAATCCCAATACCACACTATCTGGAACTCTGCAGGTTTCTACACACCTGCCAACCCATCACAGTAAGACTTGGAACAAGGAAGAGTTTGCCCTTTTTTTTTGTAAAATGGGAGCAAGGTCAAGAAGAGTACCACAGGAAGATGAACCCTGGGCTCCGGGAGCCTGTCCTCATTCCTGCCTCTCTCCTCACCACTCTTGATCAACCCCAAAGTCCCCAAGAGCTGCCCCTGAAACACCTGTTATCCATCTGCCCTTCCCCCATCTTTACTCCACTAACGGAAATGCTTCCTAACTTACCAGCCATCCTTTATATCCAGCTTCCACACTGCAATCTTCTAATAAAACAATTTGATTAACTCACTTCCCTGTTTCAAACCCTTTCAACACTTTTAATCCAACTTCTTTGGCCCACCCTACTTCTCTACCTTCAACCAATACCTCTCCCCTCATGTGTGCACATGAGCCTCCTCTCACTTCTGGACTCTTTGCTAGGCTGCTGTCAGTGCCTGGAATACTATTTTCCTTCCTCTTTATGCTGCAAGTTCCCATTCATCCTCCAAGTGTCAGTTTAAATGCCAACTCTTGTCAGGAGCCCCTCCCTTGGTCCTCCTGCATCACTCTATATCACCCTTCTACCACATTCTCAGAGAAGTTGAAACAACTGAAAACATCACAATGTTGTTTTAGTTGTTGCTATCCCAAGATTGATACCCTGGTCCTACTTCAGTTTCTTCAGCGTGCTATCTGAACATACTTTACATTTCAGAGAGCATTCAGTGTCCCAAATAACCCAGTCCTGGTATTATGGGAAACATGGGATTACCTTCTCAATTCATAAACCAGAAGTCAGCACAGTGAGTCAAAGAGAGCTTTCTTTAAAGTCTCACAACCTCTACTGTCACTCTGGTCTGGAACAGCATCTTTCTCTGGATGACAGCAAATAGCCTCTTCACTGATCTCCTGCTCCCACTTCTGCCCCAGGTAGTTTACCCTCAATGCAGCACGGTCACCTCAAAACCCTACAAGAGCACCCACCCCATTCAGATCAGAAACTACAAAGGCCCAAAGACTTCACTGATCCCCTCTACTAGTATTTCCTCTATCTCCATCTGCTACACAAATCTTTCCCACTCTCCTCCCATCACAGTAGCTATTCCTGCTGTCTGGATGACTGCCCTGCGGTGGGCCTCGGCATCTGCTTTCACTGTTTCAATGTTCTTCCCGACCTCCCTGCCCTCTCACCAACCCTAAAGCCTTGGCTCACCAGACACCCTTCTAAAGAAAGCCAACATTGACTCACTATTTAACGTTACAAGCAGTCCCTGAGTCTGCACTCCTGATTCCCGACCCTGCTCAGCTTCTTACCACAGCACTTATGGTCTCCTAACATACAACATAATTAACTAATTATCTCTCCCCTACAAGGAGCTTCAAAAGGGAAGCAATTTGTCTGTTTTGATCACTAATGTATCCCAAATGCCTTGAACAGTACCTGATATGTAGGAGGTATTCAACTATTTGCCAAATAATTTCAAGAAATGTAAATTAGTTTTTCAATCAAATAAGGAATATTTGTCCTATATACCATTTAATTTCACATTAATTTTCTAGACTAAAAAAAAAAAAAAAAGACAATTTTTTTGGTGGTTGTTCCAACTCTCACCTTCTCCCTCCATAGTCTGTGCTCTCAGATACCAAAATGTTTTGCTCCCACAGTGATAACTGGGACTGGCAAAAATTGAAAAAGCACTGAAAATACAAGGAAAGCATTCCTGATGGTACTGCCCAGACAATAAATCTGACAGGACTGCTCAGGCAAAAAATATGACAAAGAATATCATGTGACAGCATGCTGAAATGAACTGCCTTTTAATTATCATTCACCATGAATCAAACCAAAGCAAAAGCAATGACTTTCAGACTTAATCCTATGCCTATAGTCATTCTAAAAGGAACAGAAAACTTTTTCAATAGAGCCTTAATATTTTATTTCAAACAAGAGAATGCAAGAATAAAGGAATAAATTCCCAAACATTTCCTTGATATTAACTTATTAGTTCAATTTTTTAAAAATCATATTTTCTACTGCACAAGCTTAGTGATCTCCATGTATTTGGGCATTAAGTAAAAAGAATAAGGGGGCCCTAACCGGTTTGGCTCAGTGGATAGAGCGCCAGCCTGAGGACTGAAAGGTCCTGGGTTCGATTCCGGTCAAGGGCATGTACCTTGGTTGCAGGCACATCCCTATAGGAGGTGTGCAGGAGGCAGCTGATCGATGTTTCTCTCTCATCGATGTTTCTAACCCTCTATCCCTCTCCCTTCCTCTCTGTAAAAAATCAATAAAATATATTTTAAAAAAAAATAAGGGGGACAGCACCCTGTTTGAGTTACTGACTTTGCAACTGACAAAAACCAATGTTATTTCATTATTGACATTTCTGCCTGAAACCTAAATTTAAATAAATACACTGAAATTTATAATGCTGTTTACAAATTCACTTTTCGGAAGACATTTAGTTCAGATTTATCCCTCCTTAATGTCACCATTAAGAAGTAATGAAAAAGTTGCCATTACTATTAGAAAGATCAAAGTGAATTCTTTCATTTGAGGCACATAGTCTTGTACCTTCACTGACAGGGCTTTCAAGTTTCACATATTCAGGGTAAATATTTCTATTTTGTAAGATAACAATCCGTTTTCCTTAAGAAAGACACTAATGTGAAGTTTTAACTTTATGAACAATAAATACTTATTAACATTCATTGGGTCTCTAATAATCTCATATTCTTTCTTGTATTTAGAGTGCCTGTACCTGTATCAGTACTGCTTTCTGATGGATATAATCACAGTGCATTAGAGCAAATGTCCCCTCAAAGTCTCCCTGTATTCAGAATAACTGAATGCTTGTTCTCCTCAGTACTGGGTATGGCTGTCAATCTCACCAGAGTGGCATTGCTTAAATATACTGAGTACTTGCCGTCCTTGTTTATTTCAAGGCTTCTCCAAGTTTTATCTTCTTTCATGTATCAGATTTATAACGTACCTATCACTTGAGTCATCTACCCATCAACTCAGAACTTAATAAGACAGTATAAATTACAAGAGCACAGCTATAGAGTTCATATTACCTAATCACAGAATCTGTTCTGTTGTACCCTGGGATGGAAGAAGCCTTTTCTCCTGGAGATCCCAAAATTTGAAGTGTTGTATTAATGTCAACTTCAGATGAATGCTTAATGGAATATTCCATTATTTCTGGAGGTATTAGCGGAGTCTCTCCCTGAGTATCATCAGCTAAGAGGTAGCCTTCAGTTTAAAAAAAATTAAAAATGAACACTTAACAAATCTACATTTATCAAATTGCACTATAAATGTTTTGTTTTATTTGATTTACATACATCATATAAATTGATGTAAATGTAAATTATAAATGTAATATGTTATTTCAAGTTTGATGAGAAGAAACGTTCTATTTCTTAGATAATTAACTCTCAAAAAAACAGGAAAAACCAAAGGACAAGTGTTTTAGTCAACAATTTTATCACTCATACTGATATGTAGGCTTTTTAATTTACTACCTTTTAATAATTTTCAGTAATATATTCTGTAAAGTTAATAAGAATGCTACCATTATCTATGTCAAAACTTAATATTTAGGGATGCCTTTTCAAAAATTAAGATTTTTTTCTGATTACTTAAAATACAGAAACACTGACAGTATGGTTACAGAAGAAGACTCTAAAAGTCAGACTGACTAGATTTGCATACTGGCTCCAAAAATTAATAGCAGTGTAACCATGGGCTAGTTCCTTACAACTCTTTAAGTCTCAGATTCATTTATAAGAAGGGGATAATAATAATGACAATAATAATACCTAAAAATAACACCAATTCAGTGGGCTACAATGAGCTCTACATAAAATATTTGGTATGCAATTGGCACTAAATACATGTTAGCCAATATTTTTTTAAAAAATGCATCTGTAGCTGTAACATAGCAGCTGTTGCCAAATTTCATCCAATACTATGTATGGACTATTATTTTTAATACATGAAATTTATTTTTGAGGCTTAAACTGCTCAGCTGGCAATTACATTTTTAAAAATAAACAACCAACCAACCTGTAACTAAAATAAGCCAGTGAATATCTTCATATAGCTCATCAAGTATTTTGCTGTCAATGGTGCTTGAACCAGGTGAAGCAAGTAACTGCTGCTGATGTCGCTGTAACTGACCATGGAGCCTTGTTACTCTTTCTTCTAATAAACTAAAAGAAGAAAAAAATAATAGTTTCATAAAGTTCAGTAAGCAAAGACCTAGAATAACATAATTTCCATATCCTATCTAGTAAAGCAGGAATATGATAATTGACCCTCACGCCATCGCAAAAGATGGCGGCACCCAGAGCCAATAAAGAGAGAATATGCTAATTGACTGCCCCGCCCTCAAAAATGGCAGTGCCCACAGCCAATATGGAGGGAATATGCTAATTGACTGTCCCACCCTCAAAGATGGCAGCGCCCACAGCCACAAGATGGTGGCACCCAGTCCCCTCAGCCCCACCGGGGTGGCAGGCGCATGGCAAGGCCGGGCCACCCCCAGGCGGGCCCAGCCACTCTGCATGCCTGTCTCCAGAGTCCCCCAGTCCCCTCAGCCCCCAGTCGCCCAGGGCCAGCTCGAGGCACAGGCAAGCCTTGGATGGCGGCTGCCCAGCTGTCCAGGGCCACCTGAGGCTCAGGTCACCAGGCCGGCCGAGGCTTGCGCTGCTGGCAGTGGCAGCAGCAGAGGTGTGATGGGGTGTCGCCTTCCCCTGATCACCAGGTTGCCTCCTGCCCCTGAGGGCTCCTGGACTGTGAGAGGGGGCAGGCTGGGCTGAGGGACCACCCCCCCCCCCCCCCGTCCAGTGCATGAATTTTCATGCACCGGGCCTCCACTATTAACATAAATTTAAGATGTTGCACGAAAAGATATATACAAAAGTATTTATTATTATACACAGCTGTTCTCACAGCACTACAGGAACTGTGATTTATCATTTATAACAGAATTAAAATAGTGCTTTACAAATAATCAAGGTTTAAAACAGGCATTTGAAAGCTGGATATTCCAAGTTTTTATTGATATGGGTCAAATCATGTCTCACACCATGTTTCCATAATCTCTCTGCCATCTATGCTGTAGTACCTGGGCTCCAATGTAAAAGCCAAGGACTGCAGCCATGAGTGTGTTTCTGTCCATTTGCTCCAGTGTGCAAATCGGGTAGGGGTGTATAAAGTGCTCTTCAAGGAAGTGTAAGTACAGAGTATTTGCTCCATGGGTTCTCTGGCCTGTGTGTACCTTGTCAGAAGAGGTATACAGTGCTCTGCGGCAACTCTTCCTAGCATTCCTACACTGGCTAGTTGATCTGAAAACTGGTCTCGGTCATCTTCTTGAAGTTCACTTATTTCCTCTTCCTCACGAGAGGTCACACCATTGGCAGTCTGTTTTCAATGAGAGAAATAATCAGTAATGAGCTGTATGCCCTCATCCCGTAAGCCATGCATTTCTGTTGCACTATGAAATACCTTCCGCACTTCACGTGAGAAGGGGAGCTGGCCAGAGCTAACCTTCAGGGCAGCTGTCTAGAGACCCGTATCTAACTGTGCCGACAGCCTTACAGTCACCCAATGAGAGGGAGGGGAAAACACAGAGGAGAAAGAAGTGAAGGATATAAACCCACAGAACACATGTAAACACAGTTGACTGCCCACTAACAACCCACCTCCCACACCACAGAATTTAACTTCTGTCACTAAAAAGATCTGACATCTTTAAGATCCACGATCCGTGTAAACACGAAGTCATTAATACTACTTGAAAACTAGGAAGACAAAGGTGGGTAACTGAAAATTGAAGAGAAAAAAAGTTAAACTACTAACTACATACCACAAAACATGGTGCACTTAGACAAGGGACCACTATAGCTCTCTAATGCTCTCAGCAAATATTTTGAAGAAGTTCAGTTCAAATTTCTAGCATTACACAACGTACAAGAGGATAAAAACTGACAAAATAGAGCCTATACTGAAACAGATTTTTAATCACAATCTGGCTTAAAACTTACCAAATTCCTTGTGCCATCTGGAGCGGCCAGGTGGCACTGAATATAGGAATTGAAGACTTGAACTGCATGCTGGGTAAAAAAGCCTTTATGGAAATGTTTGTCATCTTGGACCAAAGTCAGCCAGGACTCCAGCAACTTGTCATATGCTTCCATGTAGACCATGTCATCTTTATCAAGCTAAGAGAAAAGAAGTTTTACAAAATAATGGCCAGAAAAATAAGGTGGGCATTATAACAAGAGTCAAATAGCTATACATATAGTTTTATAAGTTTTTCCTTTACTAAAGGTTCCCAACTATCCTATATAATAAAAGGTTAATATGCAAATCGACCAAACAGCAGAATGACCAGTTGCTATGATGTGCACTGACCACCAGGGGGCAGATGCTCAATGCAGGAACTGCCCCCTGGTGGTCAGTGTGCTCCCACAGGGGGAGTATTGTTCAGCCAGAAGCTGGGCTCACAGGCAGGTGAGGGCAGTGGCAGTGGCGGGAGCCTCTCTCACCTCTGGGGCAGCGCTAAGGATGTACAACTGCCAGCTTAGGCCCGCTTGGACATGCCCTGAGGGGTCCCAGACTGCGAGAGGGCACAAGCTGAGAGACTGCCCCCCCCCCCCGAGTGCATGAATTTCATGCACTGAGCCTCTAGTTATTCAATAATCTAGCTGAGTTCGGTCTAAAATTAATCAATTCAAACATTGCAGTAAATATGTGTAGGCTTTGAATTAAACTTTCTAAAACCTAACTTAATCTAAATAAATCTTCACAAAAAGGAATTAATGTTTAATTCTTAAGCCCTAACCGGTTTGGCTCAGTGGATAGAGCGTTGGCCTGCAGACTGAAAGGTCCCAGGTTCTATTCCGGTCAAGGGCATGTACCTTGGTTGTGGGCACGTCCCCAGTGGGAGGTGTGCAGGAGGCAGCTGATCGATGTTTCTCTCTCATTGATGTTTCTAACTCTCTATCCCTCTCCCTTCCTCTCTCTAAAAAATCAATAAAACATATATATATACACACACACATACATACACACATATATATATATATGAAAAGATTAGCTAGTTCAGTGCCTTTGTAGAATGTTTTTTCAAATGAAAATATTAACATTTTTCTGTAGTTAAGAGACCTGTTAGAATGAAAATATAAAATGTGTACTTATTACACACTTTTAAATAATTTATTAAAAATGGAGAATGAGCCCAGCAGGTGTGCTCAGTGGTTGAGCACAGACCTATGAACCAAGAAGTCACGGTTCGATTCCCGGTCAGGGCATATACCCAGTAAGAAGTGTGCAGGAGGCAGCGATCAATGATTCTCTCTCATCATTGATGTTTCTATCTCTCCCGTCCTCTCTGAAATCCATAAAAAAAAATTTTTTTTTTTTTAATGGAGAATGAGCCCTGGCCTCTTTTGCTCAGTGGATAGAGTGTCAGCCTGTGGACTGAAGGGTCCTGGGTTTGATTCCATTCAAAGGTAGATACCTTGGTTGCAGGCTTGATCCCTGGCCCTGGTCAGGGCATATGCGGGAGAAAACCAATCATTGTGTCTCTCACATCAATGTTTTGGTCTCTCCCCCTCCTTTCCACTCTCTCTAAAAATCAATGGAAAAATATCCTCAGGCGAGGATTAACACCAACAACAACAAAAATGTAGAATGATTAGCTTAATCAGCATATTTAAGAATGTGGTGAACCCAGCTGGTGTTGCTCAGTGGTTTAGCATCAACCCAGGAAACCAAGAGGTCACCAGTTTGATTCCCACCAGTTTGTGGGCTCAAGCTTCCATAGATGTGTGCAGGAGGCAGTCAATCATGACTCTCTCTCATTGATATTTCTATCTCTTTATTCCTCCCCCTGCCTTGTTCTCTAAAATCAATAAAAACGTATTTTTTTAAAAAAGGATGTGGGCCCTACCCAGTTTGGCTCAGTGGATATAGTATTGGCCTGTGGCCCGTGTTTGATTCCGGTCAAGGGCACATACCTTGGTTGTAGGCTCGACCCGGGAGGCAACCAATTGATGTGTCTCTCTCACATTGATGTTTCTCTCTCTCTGTCTTTCCCCCTCCCTCCCTTCCACTCTCTCTAAAAATCAATGGAAAAATATCCTTGGGTGAGGATTAATAAAAAATAAACTTTCCCTCATAAAAAAAAATTGTGGGGAGAACGTCATTTTATAATTTTTTTAAAAAAGCAATAGGGCATACAGAGGAGCCTGAGGAAGATGCTGAGACCTTCCTACTTAATTAATAATCTAGATATATAATTTAATTTGTGTATCAATTTCTTCATCGCAAATTCACTAAATGACCATTCAATGAAACCCAGAATACTTAGTGTCAAGCACTATGCTTAGCGTTAAAAACATAAATAATGTACCATTCATGCTTTTGAGCTTTGTCCAATGGGGAAGAGAAACAAACAGAAAATACAATAAAGGCCATTAGAAGCAAATAAAGATTTCCAGGTTAGTTTAAAAACAGGCATCTCTCATAAATAGTTACAAATAAAGAAACAGAGTCTTTGAACTATGTATATATGCACTCTTAAAAAGGTTTTGGCACAAACCACCATTTCTGACATTCTGTTAATAGGCAGTAAACCTAGAAATGCTAAAGGCCTAGAGACCCAATCCGTAACTTGCTTTTCTGGTTTCTACAGCAAATAGACTGTCCTAACCTACAAATGCAGAACTCTGGAACCTTCCTAAGAGAGTACTTTCATCAGTCTGTAAATAACTCAAAAAAGAAAAACGCTGGAAGATCTACGTCAGGAAGTATTCCAGATTCAGCTGGACCACCAAAATACTACCACTAGCTCATGACCTCTAAGCATCAGGTGAACTGCTGCCAGTGAATTATTTCCTTGTGCCTTCAGCTTTTATTAACCCACAGCCTACAAAGAAAAATGGTTATTTTCTGGGTCAAATAAGCCTACAAAAAATTTAAAAAATTTTAAGTTATTTTGTAAAAATTTACTTAAGAATGAAGGGAAAGTTAAAAGAACTTCATTAGATAATTTTAATAAGAACTTAACATAACAAACCCAATTTTTATTCAATATTTTCCTGGCCCTGAAAGTACATACAGGTTACCAGTATGTCACCAGTAGGTTCTGCAACTTTCAGTGAAATCACGTACAACAAAACCAATTTACCATAGGCTGATTTTATGAAACAATGTTATTCGAGAACTTGTTGTATACTGAAAATGGACAACATTCTTTTAATGTAACTGGAACATATTCATCCCGTAAACCAAGGGTCCTCAAACTACGGCCCGCGGGCCACATGCAAATACAAATATTGTATTTGTTCCCGTTTTGTTTTTTTACTTCAAAATAAGATATGTGCAGTTTGCATAGGAATTTGTTCATAGTTTTTTTTTAAACTATAGTCCGGCCCTCCAACGGTCTGAGGGACAGTGAACTGGCCCCCTGTTTAAAGTTTGAGGACCCCTGCTGTAAACAGTCGATTCCTATTATTTGTGGTATGTATATATCTATAAAATTGCTGCAAATTCTGAATTAGTGAGCACAGGGTTAAGAGTTCCTTCTAGTCCTAACCGGTTTGGCTCAGTGGATAGAGCATCGGCCTGCGGACTGAAGGGTCCCAGGTTCAATTCCAGTCAAGGATATGTACCTTGGTTGCAGGCACATCCCCAATAGGGGGTGTGCAGGAGGCAGCTGATTGATGTTTCTAACTCTCTATTCCTCTCCTTTCCTCTCTGTAAAAAATCAATAAAATATATATTTTTTTAAAAAGAGTTCCTTCTATTTTTCACCAGATACAGGTAAACAAATCAACACATCACCTTGTTTTAAGTGTTTGTTTATAGACACCTCATTTAATATACATTGTTGATTCATAAACAATGAACTCATAGCCAACAATGCTGTAACTCGTGCATGAATGAAGCTTGTCTAATACCTGCATTTGTCCACATCACAGCCTCCTTGCTCTCTGGAACACCAGACAGCATTCAGCACAATGCAGACGGGCATTTTAAAAAGTGAAAACACTCAGTCAGTCACTGCACAAGAAAAACTTCAATATCTTATGACAAAAATAGGGAATAGCCCATTTCACACAAAAATGCAGAAAATGTATCACTGGAGACCATGAAAAGGACACCTGTTTGCAGGATACTTTAGTAAGGGCCGAAACAGGAAGGCAGGGCACCAAAAATGAAACTGCCTTATTAGACCTCAGCAGGAAACAAGCGAGCCAGGAGATTCTTATTATTCATCACTCTGTGTGCACCTGCCTGTGAATGATGGTGAAAGTGCTACCAGCTCTGATTTTGGAATTACAAATAGATTTTAGCAATGGGGCAAATGTGCAAATATGGAATCTGCGAAATATGAGGATTAATTGTACTTGTCTCTAATAGGTTCTAACTGACTGCTGGTTCTTTTTGCACATATATCATCAACATGCATTACCCTTTTGAAAACTTTGATAGCTTACAATTTTCTTGAAGGACAGTCAAGTTCTTGGTTCCATAAATACGATAACATATTTACTAAGATATATAAATACCAATGAAAAGGATTAATTCAACCAATTTTTTCATTTCTACATCATGTTTCCTTCCAACCACTATACATACTGCTATAAGCACTAATCCAATTACAAACATAGTAAGTAGGTTTTGTTGCATAAATATAAAAAAAAATAAACACTGTCAACATCCTTCAGCAAAATATGACAGTCCAGCCCTGACTGGCATGGCTTAGTGCTTAGAGTGTTGGCCTGTACACCAGAGGGTCAGAGGTTCAATTCCCCGTCAAGTTCATGTACCTGGGTCACAGGTTCAATCCTCAGCCATGGTCCAGGCTTGTGCTGGAAGCAACCAATCGACGTGTCTCTCTCACCTCTTTCTCTCTCTCTCCCCACTCTCCCTCCTCCTTCCCTCCCTTCCACTCTATCTAAAAATCAATTGGGGGGGGGGGAGGGGGAGAGAATATCCTTGGGTAAGGATTATAAAAATGAAATAAAAAATAAATAAATAAAATGTGAGAGTCCAAATTCTTGTCACCAAATATTGAATGACGCTTCCCTGTGCAATGGCTTTGGAAATATACTGTCTGCTCATGAATTCTTGGTGATAATTTAGGTGAAATCTGAGTCAGCTAGAACTCAGATTTCACTTATCCTATCAACTTCACCATCATTAAAGAGCC